GGGTTTCCACCCCTACCCCCCCCTTCCTTTGTCTCCATATTTTGTAATGAGCTGGGCTGTCTCATTGACCATTAGGGAAGCTTAGGATTTAGGTGAGATAAAACAAACTCAAGTTTTACAGGGAAATCTGAGATCTAAATCTTCAGCTGTCTATGGGTCTACATATGACATGCATTTTCAGTTAAAATAATTTTTGCTTAAGCATTTTCTTCATTGTTTGCTCAGTTTAAATTGTGCTGCTTTGTGCCAGGTTTTCTTCAGCTGGGCCTGCTCATCACTGAATGCTTAAAGCACAGTCCAACATCACAAATCCTTTTATGACTGAAGTGGATACATTAAGCCCCATGGCAACTTGTCAGCAACATATCTCCAAATAGTACTCTTACCTGCTGCTATGGCAGCGCTCCCTCCCTGGCCAAAATGGTGCAGAATCTCAATTACCAGCAAGCATTGGCAGAGCATGTTTTCTTTATACTCCAAGTGATCATGTCACTATAGAGTTCAATCAGTGATAGGATTGCTACTGTGACACAGACCAGCGGGCATTTTTTAAAATCAATTTGAAACCACCAGAAAAGGCTACAATATTTTAGTAATCATTTTTTGAGTCACTACCTGGCCAGTAGGGTTTGTCAAGGCTTTCATTAAGATCAAATATTATTTTGCAAACCACGCACGACCTTTCAAACAGATCAGATTTTAGGACACCAAGACTAAAGTCATACCACTGCTGGTAACTTCTTGATTACACATCGCTGAAGCTTGTTTTTTTAAATCAATAAGCATAATGTTTATATTAGTTACACCCTAAACATAACCTATATACATTTCTTATAGACAAAGTATGTCAGTAAAACCTTGACATCATCAAATAATATTACCTCTCCTTTAAGATACCAGAAAACCCTTCATGTGAGCTCACAAACTTAATGATTCCAACATCAAGTTCAGTTAATCCATGTTTCATCATATCAGCAAAGCTTTCCTGGTCACCATCTCCAGACTCCTCCACCAGGAGCTCATTCTCGCCCTCGCTTTCTTCATCCTCAATTTTCCCAGTTAGTACTTTGGCAGTATCCTCTTTTTCTATGGCTTTTTCGGATTGTACCACAGCCTCCTGAAGTTCATTTAAAGACTGTTCAATAAAGGAGCTCTCTGACAATTTTTGTCTCTTAGACTCATCTGGTATGAGGTCTGCAGTTGAAAGAGGACGCTTCAATGAAATTGTAGCCATTTCAATAGAATCCATTGTTCTGAAGGCACTATGAGTAGTCTTATGAAAAACCAAAATGGATAGAGAAAAAAATTTTTTTTACAAAGAAAAAAAATATTATATATATATATGTATTTATATTTACAAACTAAATACATAAATTCTTACTCTAGAGTTCAAAATGAGAAATGACTATGCGGGGTTCCTCCACAACTATTTACTACCACATATTATAAAATTAAAGCTGAACCCCAGCATTACCTTCAGTTGTTGCACAGGCTCCTCTATTGTACTAAAATTGCTTACTCTGATTTCACTACACACTGTGATATTCTCAGTGTGCATTAGAAGCTGCACTAAGATGGCATCTTAGTACTGAAAACATCTAGCCTCTGCACCAAAACAAAGGAGCAACCCTACTAGAAGCTCTATACTAAGAACCCCCAACTACTAATAAAATCCTTCAACAATATAATATTTCCCAATACTATAAAAATATCCCCACCAGCACCTCGATAAAATCCCACTGCAATAGGATACACTCTTGTAGCCCTAGCTAAATACTAACCACAAACAGCACCACTCAAAGACCGACCATCAACAGCATCACAATAAAATGAACAGGCAATATATCTCCAGGCAAAAAAAAAAAAAAGAGTGCACCAGCAACATAAATAATATCTCCAACCACCACCTCCATGAAAGAATGTATCTTCCAGAAAAATAATATCTCCATGAACTAGAATAATCAGTACCAGCATTCCAATATTGCCCAGACCCCATAATATCCCATACCTCCAGCATCATAATAAAATCTCCCTCTACCAGCACCATAGTAAGGTTAACCATGACCCAAGCTACTATCATATTTCCCACTGATACAACATTTCCTTAATATTACCCACTACCAGCTCCCTGTATATCTCTCAGCAATACAAACTTATTTCTCCAGTGCCATGACACTGCCTACCACCAGCACAACATATGAACCAAACAGTATCAATAAATTCTTGGATCAAATAACTGTCATCTCAGGTCAATGGGAAGTTTTAGTATAAGCTGGTCTGCCCCACCTGTCTGGATTAATGCCAGGCAGCCAGTCCATCAGTGCCCAATAGACTGTTGGTTTAACACTCCGTTCCTCTTTTTGTTTATGTCACTGAAATTATTAAGCCTGTCAGGCGTAATAAGGCTTACTACAAGTTAGAGCTGCAGCTAACGATTATTTTCAAAATGGATTAGTTGGCCGATTATTAAGTTCGATTAATCGGTTAATCGGATAAACAATAAAATACATTTTAAAACATGGCTCCAGTGATGGGACTACTAGTTTGTATTGAGATTGCAGTCCATCACAGGAGCAAGCTTCGAGTGGTGGAAGTAAAAAAGAAAACAAATAGTGTGGTGTGCAATATAGTGAAATGGAAAGTGTAAAATTATACAGCAATGAATGCAGAATGGCACCGGCTATAGAGGACTCCAAAACCCAGCAATAGTACATTATACAGCACAATGCAGAATACCAACAGCTATAGAGGAATACAACAAATCCCAGCAATAGTACATTATAGCTGGTGGTATTCTGCATTGCGCTGTATAATGTACTGTTGCTGGGTTTTGTAGTCCTCTATAGCTGGTGGTATTCGGCATTGCACCACTGTATAATGTACTATTGCTGGGATTTGTTGTACTCCTCTATAGCTGGTGGAATTCCGCATGACGCTGTATAATGTATTATTGCTGGGATTTGTAGTCCTCTACACAGCGCAGTGCAGAATATCACCAACTATAGAAGAGTACAACAAATCCCAGCAATACATTATACATACAGTGTATGATGTATTGCTGGGATTTGTATTCCTATGTATAATATACAGCACAATGTACCATCAGCTATAGAGGACTACAAATCCCAGCAATACATTATAGAGCACCATGTGTGGGAAAGTGCAGGCTTACCTGAGCAGTCTTCCAGCAACTTGCTTCTGAGATAGGGCCTGCCTGAGATAGGTGCGTCGTGTAAAGCGTGGATGCGGGTCTGGCAGCGGTGAGCGTGATTTGGGGAGGAGGTGCAGCGTGTGTTAAGCCGTGAACAGGGCCAACTGATCGGAAGCCGATTAAACGATTATTGAAAAAGTTGACAACTTTTTCAATAAATCGATTATAATCGATTATGTCGATTAGTTGTTGCAGCCCTACTACAAGTGCTTCATCCTATGATTACCCATACACATTCAACAGATGTAAGATATGCATACATGATCTGAATGCCCTTGGGCAGCGGGACCATGCACACCAATGTTTCGATCAGCAGATCTTTCCTGTTCCTGTGAATGCAAAAGGGAAGAGAAAGGGCACATTGGCAATGCCATCAACTCCCCGGGGAGAATTATGGTGATCTGGGGAGGTTTTCTAACAGAACAGAAAATGAGATTGTTACTGAATCTAAAAACAGTCACATTGGCTTATGGTTATCCTATGTCAAGGTTAATCAGCAGGGCTTGAATTTTAGGGCTTCTCACCAGTCAAAAATGTCACCAGTCAGTATGACCATACTATAGCCTTGCACTTTATGTTAACATTTTTGGGGAAGGTATTTAATCACCACTAGGGGGTGTATTTTTTACTATATAATGAAAAAAGTAATGTAAATTTCGGGGGAAAAAAGTGTTTTCCCTATGTTATGTTCTAAAACATTTATTCTTACCCATATTTGTGGTAAAATATAAAAGACGGGGTCATGTCGGGTAAATAGACACCAAACATGTCAAGCCTTAAAATTGAAGGCGTCTGCAAAAATTGACACCGAAAATTGGCCATAGGCGACTCTTTAAACGCTTTTATTGTTTATCAGTTTAGTGTTATCGGTGATTAATGGCTCTAAAAATTATTGCTCACACTCCGACGTTCGTGGTGATATGTAACATTTGTGGCACAATAGGCGCAATGGTCGTTTTCGCATGTAGGCGCACCCGACGCATGTTTGCGTGTGTATGTGGGGGGGCTTAATTTTTTTTTTTTTTAACACAACTTTATTGCCATCACATAGGGGCCTATGTGATATCCAATTTACATGACAGGTCCTCTTTATGGAGACATCAGGGGTCTCCAAGACCCCTAATGTCACCTAGGGACCCCCAGAGAAGCTGGAGAGTGACACTGCATGCAGGAAGTAATGTAATATACATCACTTCCTGCATTCATGGACGAGAGAGGATATCAAAAGGGAGATCGTGTACCGATCTCCCTCTGATCTTCTGTCAAATAGCAGCCGTGCCGAACCGGGCCGCACCAGGCACAGCGAATTTTGGGACCGGCAAGGCAGTGACAGTTGCTCCTATACAAGCGCTCGAGAGTCTCTAAAGACGCCCGATCGCTTGAATTTAAAGCTCCCGGCCGTTTAATTACAACGGCTGGGCAGGAAGCTACTCTTCGGCTCCGCCACCCTCTCGTCACAGATGAGAGGACGAGTGCATTTTTCAAGCCCTGGTAATCAGTATGCCATCAGACAATTCTAATCAGACTGTTCTATTTTTAAAAAGTGACACTAAACTCAGGAGTTAAATTTAAAAAAAACAATCAAACCCTCAGATTTTTTTAACATAAACCAATACTGTAATGTGTACCTTACTGTAATCCATGGTAGTTTCCCTTCTCTTTGCTGCTCTTCCTTTTAAATCCTCATGTCTTCTCATGCTTGGGGAGAACTTCCCTTTGCAGCTGAGTGCCTCTTCCTGTAGTGCTGGCTCAGGTTGCAAACCTACACACAGACACCATGTATCCCTTTCAGAGACAAGGCAGTCTGCTGCAAAACAGAAGTTCTCCCCAAGCATGAGAACAGATACAGATTTAAAAGGAAGAGCAGCAAAGAGAAGGGAAACTACCATGGATTACAGTAAGGCACACATTACAGTATTGGTTTATGTTAAAAAATCTGAGGGTTTAATGTCACTTTAACTATTAACAAAAATGTATCTTATGTGTCTATCACTCAGCTGTAGATCCTCAAATCATCTCCGACACTGTCCTTCCTTCTGGAGGGTGACTACTTTTCTTCCACATGTGTGGTCCCTATGTGTGTTGTAAAGTAGTCACCACTGCAAGCTCACTCCCGTGATGGACCACAATCTCGTGTTTCGTTTACTAATTTGCAATGAGATTCTACAGCTGAGTGATACACAGATAAGGTACATTTTTGTTAATTTGTGAATGTACTTGAATGCATTTTTAAGATTTAACTCCTGAATTTAGTGTCACAATAAGATATCACTGCTTGGAACGCTTGGGGATTTTTCACGCCAGCCATTTGGATCAAGCAGATCAGCAATGTCAGAGAAACATTTCACTGAGCGTCAGACACTGGTTAGTCATGATTACTGGACCTCCATATCTGGCACTCCTTTGGGTATGTTTGGACTCAATGTGGTTTCTCAATGAATTCAGCTGGTTTACTTATAGGGACACACTAGTGAGTGTGGAATCACAGCACTGGGCACCTGCAAATGCCAGACACAGAGGATACCATCTGAACGAAGATTGCAGTAAAGAACAGTGGGACAATTTCGTGTATCTAAACCCAAGAACAAATATGTCATATATTGCAGCTTACCAGTCACTGGATGATGAGGCTGCATTAGTTTTCTTTTATTTTCACCTGGCGATCCTGCCAGTAACACACTTCCTGTTCTAGAGTGACTGTGCACTATATCTATGGAAAAGCAGCATTGTCACCCTAAGCTGCAAGCTGATAGAGAAAACGTCCCTCTCACCTTCTCTCTACAACATGGGGGAAGTGGTTTTGCAATTCACAAAGCAGAACTGGGAAAGATCTAATATTACTGATAAAATATTTGGTACATTTCCTTGTGTTTTATCCCTTTGTTCATGTTGCAGGCACAGACAAAGACCTGATGACCTGCCAAGAAATCCAATGTGCTCCTAACTTTCTTTTTGGCTTGACAGCACACTGCCTTTTTTTGCACTGAAATCCTAACCAGTGTTGTCAGCCTTGTCTGCTGGACTACATAACTCCAACTATCCCACCTCCCTCTGTTCCACTCCACATGCTTACCAGTGATTTCCTTGCCTGCAAAACAATTCCGCTGCAATGATCACAAGCAAATCTCCATCTATTAGTTAGGATGAGGGAGGAAAGAGGAGGGGAATAGAGCAGTGTCTTGCCTTGCTGTGCTGGTGGAGACACACAGCTTAATAGCACACACAAGGGTGGCTGCATAGGACACTGCGATGTAAAGGAGGTATCATGGCTCAGGGGACCAGCTGATTGTGCAGGAAACTAAAACGTTTAAAACATCAAGAAGCAGCATCCATTGAAAGTGATTTAATCAGCATTTGAAGCAGCTGTTGACTTTAATATCACTTTAAGCAAACCCACAGAAGGAGGTTTCCGGTAGAGGCTGCTGCGGTAGAAGTCTACATCACAACACAAGAAGCAAACAGCTTTGCATGCAATGTAAAAAATACATAAATATAAGCCACATAAGCAGTGCAAGCAGCCTTCCGGGGCTCTGCACCGTTCCTCTAGCAGTGTCCCAGGCCTCTATGGTTCCTCAATAACTGACCTGTCCGAAGTGGCGGCGCGGTGACCCAGGAGTGAAGGAGACTGCAGAGATATCGAGCAAAAACGAGACACTACAGGCCTGCCACCCAGCCGAGCGTCTGTCTCGGCTCAACACGTGGGAGAGCTGTCTACTCTGCCACCACCTGACTTCCAGTCCTCCCAAAAACCAGCGAGCCACAAGGCGAGGTAAGAGCGCCGTCTATCATGCTAGCACGGCTGAGAGCCAGAGAGGCCTCCGTTGCCTAGGAGAGGAGTCAGAGGAGGGAGCCGGTGACGCAGTGTATAGAAGGCAGCGCGTTGTGCGGCGCGATCTTACTCAGCCCATGGAAGCTGAGGGCTGCGCGTGCGTGGATAGTGTACCGGCCGGCACCGGCAGCAGTGCACAGAACAAGGGGGAGATGAGCTCGGGGAAGGGTAAGAAGGAGCGGTACCCTATCCATCCATCATTCACCCTGCCCACCTTCCCATCCCCCCATCCTCTCCCGGATCCACACCCGCCGCCATTGTTACCGTGCGCGCTTACCTCTGTCCTCCGTAACGTTTTTCTATTCCCTCTCCAGTGATGGCAATGCAGGCCCGGAAGAGGAGGCCGAAAGGAAAGAAGGAGAAGGCACGAAAGAAGTGAGTAGTTGTCACTTTGGGTATAGAGCTGTCATTATCTGTCAGTCACTGGGAGCATCAGTATAGAGGAACAATTGTTCAACTTTATCCCATGGCTCCGCTCTCGCTGCATGTTATCAATGGGGAGATTGTTTACATTCGGTGCTGAGGGTACTACCCTCATCCTCTCTGCTGTGTGGGCTTGGTAGTTCTTTTATGAAGGAGATGCTGACATGAGTAGGTCCTCTGTGTAGGTCGTTCATTGTGTTCATATGAATTGTACAGTCTTGTGTGGAGCTGCACAATCCTGATGGTACTGGACCATATATGATTTAGAGCTGTGGTTCTCATCCTTTGTAACCTCAGGACCCACGTTTGTGCTTGGTCATTGGGTCGCAACCCATGTCGGAATGCACGGCATTGTGGTAATTTTCCGGTGCGGGCAATCAAACTGTGGGCAGGTGGTGCGTTTGGGGTACCATTCAAATGAATGGCAACGCACCTCTGGCACCAGAATGCACGTTAGGTGCGATTACGTAGTACAGTGCATTAATAGCATGGGACTATGTGATTAATGCACTGTACTAATGTGAATGGGCCCACAAAAACACTGACAGACACGCACACAACCACAGACCGTCTCGCATACGAAGTTCAAAAAACTATCTTCTAAAAACTGTGGGCTGCTGTGCTGTGACGGAGCTCCATCCATATGTGCATTGCTTGTACAGCTTCCTTGCATGCCCTGTAGAGGTGCAGGGAGCCCGAATGTGACAGGCACCTCTACAGATCATGCAAAGGAGCTGCATACAATGCATGTATGGATGGAGCTTCCTCACAGCCATACTCCCGGCCCACCTCATGCTGACCCTCCGCACCGGGGAGGTATATTTTGAATGGCTGCTCAGTAAGAGAATTGACAATGCTGCACTAGGGGGAGCCTGAGGAGCTTCTCGCCTAGCATGGTGGAGACCCACTGAACACAGGGTTGTGACCTAGTTTTGGGTCGCGACCCACCAGCTGAGAACCACAGATTTAGAGGGAGTGTTTGTAGTGACATTACGGATGGCACCAGAAGTCACCGGCAATCCAGAGCTGCATTTTATTCATGTATTCAAAACATGTCATGTCACTTAGGTTAAAATGGCCAATGTTTTGATGCCTCGCAGGGTCCACTTCTTCAGCCTTAGGAAGGAGTACCCTGTGATGCCCCAAAACATGAACTGTTTTAAAGCCCTTTTCCAGGAAAAATAAGTCCCTTTGCAGAGGGTCTACCCCTGCCCTGCTCATCTATGCCTAGGGAACTGGAGTAAAGGACTTTTAAAGGAGAACTATGAGATGAGTGATTTCCACTCACCTCATAGTTCTAACCGACCTGTGAGACTGTCAATGAGACTGTCACAGGTCGGCTCAGTAGATCGGGAGGTGGGCGAACACATACCGGGTTCGCTCACCTCTCGATCCTGTCACGGCTCTCTGCCGTGACAGGGGGAGGGGCTGGATTCCCCTCTCCCCGCTCTGATCTGCCAGCGCTGACTGGCGGATGGGGAGGGGGCGCGTACAGCTGGCTCTGCCTCTAGATAGGCAGAGCCAGCTGTCACGCAGCTGGGCGGATGTCGATGTCGGGATCCGCTCCGGCTGCGGCGTCTCAGTGTACCGCTAGCTTTAGCTCGCGGTATACTTAGCTTAGGGTAACGGGAGAATTCTATGATCCCTGCATGCTTTAAGATGGTGCCCACAGCCTCTTCTCCTCTGCACTCCAGCAGTTGGAGGCCTGCAGACATCCTTACGTACAATGTATGGCCCATAGCCCTGCATTATACATAAGGATGCCACAGAAAAAGCTGCAGCATAGAGGAGAGCGACAACTGCGGGGGGCGGTGCAGGGATCAGGAAGGTACTTTACCGGGCTGCCTTAGATATAAACAAGCAGCTAACCCTTGCAGTGCGGGGAGGGGGGTACTTTTTTCCCCCTGGAGATAGGCTTTCAGCTATGTGACATCACAAGTTGTGAATAAATTGGGAAAACACACTTCTGGAGTACTGGTAACTCCATTCTCTGCTGCTTGTGGAGTGTAAGGCTAGCTATACACAGCTCGAATTTAAGCTGATTTCTGCTGAATACGTTTCAAGCCATGGGTGGTCTTGTCAGCACCACCAGACTCAACATATTTTGACTGAAAAATTCAAGGAGCCCGGTGGAAAATTGTCAGCTGAACAGTGACTGCAGCCAATCAGATTTTCCTAATTTTCTAAGGAACCTTAACAAGTGTCCACTCGCCAAAAAATGTACATGACCCTTTCCCCCGCCCCAGTGAATCCCTAATATGGCACGTGTTGTTCAGATGAGTGCATTGAGGGTCAGGTACATAGTGTGGATGTGCATTGGGGGCTTATTGAAAAACCACACCCCCAAAGCACATGCACAATTATTGTGTCCAACATGTGATCCCTGCAGTGCAACGTACACGTGTAATTGTGAAGCTGGTCTAAATGCTCTCAGGTAAGGCAAGAAAATCTATTCAATGTTCATTTCTTTTTTTGCTTAGGGTAGCAAACACCTGTTATCATTATGTCAGCTTTGGCTTGTCTCTGACTACTGAGACACTCTAATGTCATAGTAGTATGATTCTATGGACTTTGTTCCTTTGATATTTTAATTATTCCTAATGGAATGTCTTTAAAGTTGCTAAAATGGAGCAGCCCTTCACCTTGTCTTGTCTGAGTCACAGGATCATTTTCCAGTTTGGCTACACACGTAATAGCACACTACAATTACCCTTGTAGTCAGGCTGCAGTGTTTATACTGGTTGTTTGGAAATTGCATGACAGGCTTTTGTTGCACACAAATTGAATAGGGTATTCTTTGCTGTATATCTGACCCGGGAATATTTATACAGCCATGCATGTGATATTCACTAACTGCACATTTTAGGCCTTATAGCCCCCTAAAAATGTTTAATGTGTGTGTGTATCTAGATATATATATATATTTTATTTTTTTGAAAGCTTGAACTCTGGAGAAGAAAATGATGGCAGCTGCAAGTTTTTATGTCAAATGATATTCACACAACAGTTTGTCAAACCCACATTTACAGCAAATAATGTATTCAATTAATCTTAGGACACACAATACAATAAACTGTTTTTTTTGTAAAATTAAAAAGATGGGGTTGGTCGAGCCAAGAGATAACATGTCAAGCTTCAAAATTGCACTGGTGAAACGGCGAAAAACTTTGGTACACAAAATTGTCTATACAGTAGGTGATACTTTAAAAGCTTTTACAGGTCATCATCTTAGCGTTAATCATGAATAATGGCCCTAGACTTATTGCTCTCACTCCTGGGTGTGTGGTGCAGTTGTCGTTTTCATATGTAGACACACCCAACACATACCTTTACATCCGTGGGGGCATTGAAAAAAAAAAAAATTGGTGGGATTTTTGTTGTTGTTGTTTTTACTTTAATTTATTAAAGCTTTAATTTTTTAAAGCTTTGTCACATGCAGCATATTACATTTTTGATGCTGGGTCTAGACGAACTTTAATGCTATTTAATTGGTAATAGATGCTTGTTGGTCAGTTTTATTGGAAGTTGACTTGATCGGCTCCTGGGTTGGCATGCTAGCGTCTTAAAGCAATATTAAAGTTCAAATGTTTTTAAGTTATTTTAAATGCTTAAATGACTCACAATGGATGCTGCGCCTCGATGTTTAAAGTGTAAGTTTCTTGCAGAATCAGTTGGTCCGCCGAGCACTGGCCCTGATTTCCAGATAAAGGGTGGCTCCATTCCCTTGCAGGGTCCCATGTAGCGACACTTGTGTGCGTCTTCATAATACACAAGCACAGCAAGGCAACACACTCCTCTTCCCCTGCTCTTCTCTACTCTTTCCTCCCGCCTTCAAGCTAGTAGGTGAACAGCTGCTGGAGACTGTGCTGTCAATTGTGATTTTGTACTAGACCGGACATTCAGGGAAGGTGAGCTGAGAGAGTTGGAAGCAGCTGTTCAGAAACATGATTGACGATAATCGGCAGGTGTATGGAAGGCGTGCGACCACTTTTACTGTGCGGTCGCACGTCTTGTCTTCTGTGCACGCTTGAAAACCTGCCGAAAGTCGTAAGATTTTTGTCGGGTTAGTGGCGTGCTCGGAAGACAAATGCCGAACGGCACACTGTCTTCTGAGCACCCGCACACTCCCCGGTCAGCATTGGAATCATCGGAAGCCTTCCCCTCAGCGGGGAGGGCTTGCGATGATCGCAAGTACAATCTGCCTGTCCAAGATGGGCAGATCGTACGAGATTTTAATTACCTTACAGCCATCGCACAACGAAAGTCGTGCGATGGGTGTAAGGTGTATGGGCAGCTTTAGTGTTTGGGCAAAATGTAAAGCAATGCTTTGCTGGGTAGTGTATATTTGTTTGATCTGGATTCATTATCGAAAATAGTTTGAGTGTTTAAAACTACTTTCCATATAGGCGTTGCAAGAGACTGCCATCATCTTATATAAGGGCTGGTTCACACAAAGTGTATTGTCGCACCTGAAAAAGCGCGACAAAATGCTTGACTGTCACAATAAGCAAAACACCCGTCGCTGGAAAAAGTACATGAGCTTCTTTTTGGCAGATCACAGCTCCTTTTGTCCGCATAGTCAATAGGAAACACGAGTTGTCATTGTTTTTGCGCACGTTTTGCTTATTCACATCAATGTGTCACAATCTGCTCATAAAAACACGTGACTTATTGCATGCATGTTTTATGCACAACAAAAAAATGCGTGTTTCTACTCGCGAAAACACTGTTGCCCAGGTGTGAATCCGGGCTAAGGGACCAGTTCTAGTTTTCACATGTTTGACACACTGCAGGTACATACACCGCTGGAGCTACCCCTGGTTCCAGAATTGGGTTGATGCAACGCCCACATATAGCTACAAGCCTTGGCTGACACAGCTGAGATGATCTGACAGATGATTTTAATAACTATCAAATGAAAATTCATTGATAGTGCACTGATAAGCCATAGA